TTTAAGCTAAAAAGGCAAATGTAAGCCACAAGTTAGAATTCCTAACTTGTGATTTTAGCTTATCTGTGATAAGCCAAATCAAATAGGAGCCTATGTCCCCTGTTAATGTGTTGTGATTTACTTTTTGAAAACCACTTTTGAAATGTTTTAAGTATAAGAAATTTAAGAAAATATTTGGAAAGAATCGCCACTTAAATTTTTGAAGAAATTAAGAAAACTCAATCTAAAAAGGCCTTAACAGATTAACCTTTACAAATTTAGAAAAAATGGATAAGAGGTTCACATTTCCGCTTTGAGAAGGTGTTATTCTCCTTCTTGGTACTCTTGAATACGGCAAGGTTTTTCCCTATTCCCTATCAAAAGCACCTTCAATAATGCTCAACGTATCAGCAAATATGCGATTATCCGATGATTTGACTAACAATATTGACTAATTTTTAGGAAAATATATTTAAATAAAGAAAAGCAATTTTAGGGCCATTTAAGGAAACTTAACTTGAAAACAATTGAAAATATTTAAAATGAGATGAACTTATCCAACATAATTGATTTAGTGAAAAAAAAGAAAAAGAAGCAGTTGTTGAATTAAATGAAGTAAATCAATATAAAAACAAGATTTGGTTCATCTTTCGGAGAATTTAGTTAAGCTAAACTAAATCTAAAGTTAGAATCCAAACAAATTACAATCAAACAAATAAAGAGAACAAAGAAAATAGGCCCAATCTCAGTTTGTAGATGCATGGGCTGAGATATGGGCCTTCATGTAGCACCTGCATTTTTGGTTTTGACTCATGTATATCAGTGTATACAATCTGTATATATAGGTCTATATGGGTTGTATATCATCTGTATCAGATGTATATAGGCTTGTATATCAACCCTTTTGCCTGTATATTTGTTTCTCTTCATTGTATCAGCTTTCCTTTCTCTCGAACAATGATGAGGCGGACTCAAAAACATTGAATTTGACCCAACCCGAGATGCAAAGGAAAAAGTGGACTCCAATGGACTCAATCCAAGGGAGATTCATACATAGAAGCAATGATAAGGATTAGAAAATTTAAACAATAATTATATAGAAGTCATTCAATCGATCCATCATGCAATACAACCTTATTATGAACTAACAAAGACTAAATCTAATACTTCAACTTGGTAACGAAATGATAACAAAGACACCAAGTGTGAGAAACAAAAATAACATCGCATTAATATCCTATTACATTTAAGTCATGGAACTTTAGTGCATAAACATTTTGAGTGCCTAAAATTGCTTCTTTTGATCCTTTAAAAAGTGATATCCTAAATTCATTGCATCTGAAGTCGATGAAAAATACTCAACAATCCGAATATGTATACCCAAACTTTCTATAGAGTACTATGATCGTGCTATACTAGAAATTAAAATGATAATAAATTAGAAAGATTGATCAAAATTGATATATGTATTTCAACAACGTACTAAGGGGTAGGGGTGTGTGTATATCTATTTTGAGGTACCAATCGAACAGGTACATAGAAGAAGGAAAATAAATGGACAATAAAAAACGTGATCTAAGAAACTGCAGGTATTAATGTCAACTTATTACATGCTAATCCGGGTAAGTTTCTCGAATCCAAAGTTTACAAATATGTCAAAAAAATAATTCTAACAAATATCACGAGAATGGATCTACCACCATTGAAACCCAATTCTTTGTTGCCAAAACTCTACTTACACGGGACATCAACCTATTAACTAATCATCATATCATATCATATCATATATCATATCATATATTATTATAAATGGAAAGCTCCTAACTTAAAAGTTGAATTACCATTCTGCCCTTATTTTATCCTTTAACTAAATTAAATATTAATATATAATTAATTTAATATTAAATAATAATTTTATTTAAATTCATGCATCTAGAAACAATGGTTCAAATTCTTTAGGATATTAAATTTTCTATCTCATCGTTTTTCTACTCATATAATTTTTAATCAAAAAAGAGTGAACATACCCTTCTAATTATTGCATTACTAACTAATAAAATACTAACTTAAATTCAACAAATGTTACAGAAAATGAACTAAATACGCCTATTAGTTTTGTGTAGTAAATGCTTGAGGAAGTTATTCATGTACCAAACAATGGTTCAAATTCTTTAGGATATTAAATTTTCTATCTCATCGTTTTTCTACTCATATAATTTTTAATCAAAAAAGAGTGAACATACCCTTCTAATTATTGCATTACTAACTAATAAAATACTAACTTAAATTCAACAAATGTTACAGAAAATGAACTAAATACGCCTATTAGTTTTGTGTAGTAAATGCTTGAGGAAGTTATTCATGTACCAAATTAAATGTGGATGATGAAGAGTCAAAAAATAACTTTTAATTTAATTTATAATATGTGGGGTAATGAAGAGTCTATCAAAGACACTCACCAACAACATTATATATATTTACTTCTTCCATCAAAATTTGTGATCATCTTGCTTTCTATCGATATATAGACAAAACACGTACTTATGATTTTATCCAGTCATATGCTTCATTCAAAGAGAAAAAATTAAGAAGTTAAACAAATTATTCTTTGAAACCACCGTTATTTTATATGAATAGTGGGAATACATTATAAGATTTTGCTCAATATTTCCATATCATTTTATACATTTACAAACAAAAGGGTCGATGAAGAGTCAAAAAATAACTTTTAATTTTAATTTATAATATGTGGGGTAATGAAGAGTCTATCAAAGACACTCACCAACAACATTATATATATTTACTTCTTCCATCAAAAATTTGTGATCATCTTGCTTTCTATCGATATATAGACAAAACACGTACTTATGATTTTATCCAGTCATATGCTTCATTCAAAGAGAAAAATTAAGAAGTTAAACAAATTATTCTTTGAAACCACCGTTATTTTATATGAATAGTGGGAATACATTATAAGATTTTGCTCAATATTTCCATATCATTTTATACATTTACAAACAAAAGGGTCAACACTATTCTTACAATAACCAATACTTATATTTTTCAATTACACTAGCAACATATTTGATAGTATGTTAATTTAAACAATTTTGTATTAACAAAAGTAATCATGGATTAAAAGAAATTGCGAATCTGTTAAAATTCACTCTTTTTAAGTTTATGTATAACTGTTACTAAAACACAGAAAAAAAGCAATATAATTTGATTATATAAGTTTATAGAATTGATCGAACTCCATTGGCATTATATTTCTATGATACATCACATGCCTCTAAAAATAAAAAATAAAAAAAATAAAAATTAAAAAATAATATATATATATATATAGCCTCGCTTTGAAAAGTGAAAAAAGTAAGAGAAAATTATAAGAAATGAAATGAAAGATTTTATATATCTAGATTGTAGTTATTTTTTTATTCTCTCCGCATTTCTCTATTTAAACACTTTGAATTTATAGGAGATAAATTGTGAAAGTAACTTTAGAATATTTTTTGTTTCAAGATCTATAATATATAAAGGTAAGAACAATTCTTCTTGATATATATTGGTTGAGTGTCATCATCTTTTTTAAATTGCTTTTTGAGGGTGTATTTTAGTTAACTTATTGTGTTTAAAGTTATTTTAGCTTCGAAAGCACCATAACTCTTTCACCCACTATACAAATTATATATAGTAGTAGCGGACAAACGTGCAAAGCACGTTCTTGGATCTAGTATTATTATAAGTGGGAAGCTCTAAAATGAAAAGTTGAATTACCATTTTATTCCTACACTAAATATTTTTTTTGTAAAATATCTTAATAAATAATAATATTTTAGTTATATAAATATAACATTAAAAGTCCATCTACTTTAGTTTTAAAATAAAAATCTCTCTCTCTCTCTCTCTATATATATATATATATACATCTGAAACTAGAATCGCTGATGTGGCAGCCTCCAATGGCCAGCATTTGGAATTTTGCAATTATCTATTCTACTTTTTAATTAAAAATTAAATCTGAGCTTTTCCCAAACAAAAAATAAAAAAAATCATTGAATTAAAAGGGAGTAATTAATTACGCTACAACAGCCCAAAATGCCTAAAAAATTGCTAATCTTAAGTGCTACTGAATGGGAACTCAATTGGAATTATTTTGCTTACATATTTTAAGCTTCTACATTATTGGCACATGTCTACTAATAGATGATAACTTCAGTAGCTTTTAATTACATTTAGATGAATCAAATGAATTTTTCACTTTTAAATTCTGATTTATATTTGTTCTGCATAGTTCTGCTAAATCAAAAACTACCTTATGGGATGAACTTGGGGAGAAGTTTGCTCCTTATCTGTATAACTATGTGATACTTTATTTTCTATGTTTTTTTTTAAAATTTATTAAAGGTGCTTTCAGTTGCATGGAACTGTAGTGGCACAAAATTAGCTTCAGGTTCTGTGGATCAAACAGCTCGTATTTAGAAAATTGTGCCTCATGGTCATGTAAGCTTCAAGAACTCATTTTTTTTTTGTTTTCGGTTAAGTTTATATGCTGATAAAAGGATAGCCTTTTGTTATTGTTGCCTTTTTCTGCCTACCTTTTCTGATTTTTTAAAGGTTTTACTGAAGTGGGAAGCTGGGCGTTGTAAATAAACTGGATAAATTCGTTTACAATAGGCAAAATGAGATTTTTTAGCAAAATTTATGTAAATCTTGATATAGATTACATAAGATGTTTGGTTCAAAAGTTTTCCACCATGTCCACAAAATTAAACAAGTATAACTTGAAAGAAGGGGTTGAGAATTTTACAATATCAAAACTTTGGATACCAGATGATAATTTGAAAGCACAATACAAACTAATGAAAGAGAAAAAGGTATTGCAATACCAAGTTTTAGTTTGTAATTCACTATTACCTTTACGTTGTAAATAATAGTTTTGTTGTTGATGTTTTTTTAGGGGAGAAGCTTACTTGAGAATGAGATTGAACCAAATGATCAGGGATCCGAAGGATACTATATATTGTTTGAGCTTAGTTAAGTTGTCCTTTTATAATTTTTGGTTTAGTTTAATAAGTAGACACCTTTGAGCTTAGTTAAGTTGTTTCGTCCTTTTACCATTTTAAGTTTAGTTTACTAAGTAGATGCATGTTGTCCGTAGTGATGATATCCATACTTGTATAGTTTTATCCCAACTCAGACAACTTCTACTATTAATATATTTGGTTGTTTGTATACGATGGCTTTGTCAGCAAAATCAAATACTTGATGGATATCACTTGATTGAGCAGCCTGCACGTGTATCTTCTGTATACATAATTAAATTCTTCTTTAGTTTTGTGGAATCAAATAAATGTTGGTGCTATGTGCACAAAAAACATGGTCATCTTTCCTATTCAGTTAGTTCTTGAGGCTATGCATAAGCGAGTTTAGTGCTTCTTCTTCTCTTATATTCCCCTATATTAGTCCCCACGTTGTTCAAGTTCTTCCTATGGTGCTTGCTTGCTATGTAGCCGTACATACAGAGTTGAGGTTTTCCCTACTATTCATTTTGCTGTCACTTTGAACTCTGAGTTTAGGAAGTGGAACACTCTAATAAGTTGACGAAATAAAAGTGACATAATTAATAAGTTGTTCCTTTTCTTTGTTTTTGAAGTAAAGTTTAGCTATGGTTGGATGACTTTTGAAGATGTAGGAGAGATTTTTTGTTGGTATTGGAATGATAACTGATCATAATATACATGAGAAGGTGTCTAATTGACCCTGAATAATTTGACATTGAGGTGTGTATAAGCTTTGGATGCGTCTAAGTGTTTGATTTGTATCCATATGAATACTTCGGCTGGGAGTTGGCTTAAAACATTTGTAATTATAAAATAGGGCTGTTAATAAGAGTTCTTGAATCTGGTAAGAAGGAAAAGAGGGAAATGATATTGGAGCTAATCTAAATGACTTTGGATGCATTTCTTTGGACCGCACGAATTAACAAGGGTGATAAAATTGCACGGGAGACATGACCATGGGAAAATATGCAGCAGAAATAAGAGATTCAACCAGAAATGGAATTAGAGTTTGGTTAGGGACATTTAATACTGGCGAAGAAGCTTTAGCATATGATCAAGCTGCACTTACAATGAGAGGTCCATTGGCACGCATGACCATGGGGATAATTGCCTTCCATAAGTTGTCTTTACGACTAAAACTTAACACATAGCGGTATTTATTGTTACAATCAATTTTGGATTTTGTTGAAGAGGAGAACCTTTTGGTCTATAAACATCTGTCAAATGAAACTTTGCACTCATTCACAACATAAATTTTTTAAAAAAAGACTTAGTAACTTATAATTGCCTTCCACCAGCTGCCTTTATGGAATAGTCTGCAAGCAAAAGACTAGCAGTGTATTCGTAGCACATATTATCTGGCCCATTCTTCAATCTATCCTATTTCCTTTATCGAGTACTTCTTCAATGGAATCCAGGCTGTGGCTTTCATGCACTTGAAGCTCATTTTTTATGCTTAAAGGCAGCCTAAAAGTAGCGACGAATAATATTAGTGAATATCTAAATTTTCCTTGGTCCTCTGGGTCTTTTTTCAGTAATTGTATACCTAAAAAACATAACAATGTTCTTTTATGGAAAATCAAATTGTATAGACAACTATTTTTCACTCTATTTTATCTTTAACCATGGAGAAGCTTTCCCAAGTTGGAATTTTAGGGAATACTGATAAAGAGCATCCAGTTATGACTCGAAAATTTGATCACTGATTTATCTTTGAATTCATTCTTCGATGTAATCTTGATTTCTGGAATGTTATAACCTTATCTAGCTTGCTGATGGAATCATATTGGAGAAAACACCATCTCCATTGGGTATATCCTGATTATATTTGAGTCATTGCTCGCTTATGATACATAGTGTTGTGTAAATAATTTTCACTGCAAGATCACATACTTATTTTAGTAATCTTGCTGAAACTAATTATAGATTTCAAGTCTTGCAAACTCAGTTCGTGTGCTTGCTAACCTGGATGGGTCAGTTGGCCGCATTTTAAAGAGGACTGAGGTAAGAATCTTGTTTTCTGGGCACTACCACATGACTTTAAACGTTATCTCTTTGACTTGCAAAATGACGAGGTGAATAAATCAGATATCAATATTTGTATAAGAAAATTACTTTTATTAAGATTAGGAACAAAGATCAGTTTGCAGAGGAATATTTTGAAATAGCTTCATATGAAATAACTTTCTGAAGCATTGGACAATGTAGTGGATAGCCTAATACATGTGTCAGAGAGTGGGTGTTTTTACATTGGTTTTGGTTGATACATGTAGCCTTTCATGTGTAATCTCACTTGTACTAATTTGTGTTTCATTCATTTCTTAAACTATTTCATTTGCAGCTAGACATGGAATTTATTCAATGTGACATCAACAACTTAACATGGAGAGGTATCTTTTTCACCACACTTTTCAGTCCCGAAAAATAAAAACTCCCTCTCTCTCGACTCATTAATATTCCACTATGTGTAGGTCAGATTGTTGAAACAGTGGTTATGAATCCATCTTTTGGAACACAAAGGAAAGGACACATGTTTCTTCCACCAAATAATGCTCATGTAGGTGGCTGGATTTACAGGTGGAAGAAATATGCCAACCATGATGCAGAGCAAACATGTTATAAATTGGACAATCCACATGGTTTTCCACAGATAGCAACGATGGTATCGACTCGAGTTAACTTCCTGCCGTTGGAGTTTTAACATTTTATCTATAAAAAATATTTTAAATCTCAAGATTTATGTAACGTCATATCATGTCCTAATACGTGTGGATTACTTTCTATACCCATACTAAGCAATTTTAGTCCACCTTTCCCTTTATTTATATAACAAATCAACAACACAAACAACTGCGCACCTCATATTTTCTCCACTTACCGATACTCTCAAGCTCTCTCACAATACTTAAAACAAATAGAAAATTCAAACTTTATGCCTATTCTTTCTAAAAGTGACTGACACTTATCTTTACATACAAATTCGACACTTTAAAAAATAATCACATTAATTAAAAGAATTAAATCAACATCACAACCAATGGAAAAAGTTGTACAATACACTTATTATTTAATTTAAAAATATTTATCCTGATCTACATGATCAATGTGAAAACTTGTATATATCAATTTCTCTATACCTTTTAATTTCCTATATCTCCATAATAAATTCATAACATATCTATCATAATAAAAACAAAACCAATCCAAATCCCCAACAATCCTCCAATTATTTACAAAATCTTCACACTAAACTTCACACAGACATTTAAAAAATCGTAAGAATTGATTCATCATTTAAAACAATTCAATGGTAGCACAACCAATTAATGGAAAAAGTGGTGTAAATACCACAAAAAAATAATAAACATTCACACACACCATTTCTCTTCATAGTCACCATCTGCTCATACTAATTAATTGAGGTTGGTTTTCAATGTTCAATATTATTATTTGAAACTTACCTTTTATTGCAATACTCTATCCTTACTTTGACTTTGACAAATACTTATACAGAAGTACTACAATGGATGTGTCAAATAAGGATCGCTCCCAAATAATCAGTTCAGATAATCGTCAAGGTAAAATGTTCATGATAATATTCATAACTATATTAAATTCTTCTTCTAAACATTTATTTTATAATACAGATACAACTGAAGAATCAAGCAAATCGGTTAAATTGATGTATGAAAATATTATGCAACAGCGAATTGCATATTTGAGAAAGGAACAAGAGCAGTTGAAAAAATATATATACAGAGGAGCTTCACAAGATCAAACAAACAAAGAATGATATGACATTTTATATGTATTGGCTTCTATGTAATAGGGAGATGCAATAATTTATGATTAGAGAATATATTAGCTAACCATCAGTCTAATAACTAATTATCGGCCGTTGATGATGTATTTCTTTATATATTTAAGCAATGAAAATAAAGTATTTTTTTAATAGAGCATATATTTTGACTTATTCATTAAGAATGTATTATTCTTATTAAATAGATACTAAAGTTGATAAGTTTCATCAAGTATCATCATTTCAAATGAAAAGATAATGATTTGCTCAAATAATATTATCATATAATTAATCCAAAAGAAAAAAAATCCTAACACATATCTATTAATCCTCGCGCGAAGCGCAAACATGTTCCCTAGTATATATATAAAGGAGGACCATAGACAAGGTGATGTGGCACCTCTCTATGGCCTCCATTTGCATTTAGTTTTTTTTTTTTTTTTTTGGCTTTTTAAAAAAATAAAATTAATTATTATATTATAAAAATAAATTACTTAAATTTATTACAAATAAATATTTTATTGATGGAGGAACATTTATAACAAAAACTCTTCATATTCTTTTTTTATTTATTTGTCTCACTTATAATAAAAGGAGAAACATAATTTATCTTTTTTTGACTTTTTTTTAATTTAAATTAATTATTGTCTTGTAAAAATATATTACTTAATTTATACAAATAAATATTTTATTAATGTAGGAACATTTACAACAAAAAAACTCTCCACATCCTTTTTTCTATTTTTTTTTATCTCACTTCAAATCATGAATCATAAAATCATAATAATTTTTTTTACATTTTAAGTATTTTTATTTTTATTTTTTAATTTATTCACAAGGATTTATTACCCATGACTTGCCCCTCTTTAATTTGTACTTTTTATAATATCCATAACTCTCATAATTTTTATGTCCATAACCTCCAAACTTAAATTTGTAAGTTATGATGTCTTATGGTATTCCTTTTATTTTGCCTATAAATTCATATTAGTTTCATGAAGATTCACATTCACAATTATCCTTTCTCTTTTCATCATATTGGTTTGGTTTGTAACAAAAAATAAGTACATGAAGGTAAGAAATATTTCATTGCAAATTTTTATTTTTTATTTCCTCTATTTTTGTCTATATAAATTCGTATTTGGTTTGTGAATGAAACTAACATGTAACAAAAAAAGTACATGAAGTTAATAAATATATCATTCTCAAGTCCTTAGTTTTTCATTTCCTCTATTTTGTCTATATTATTCATATTTATTTTCATGAAGATTCACATACAAAGTCATTCTCAAGTCTTTCTTTTTATTTTTATGTACTTAGACATGCTTTCTTAATATTTTTTAATGTTTGTATTATCATTCATCAAGCAAGTATGATTAAAAAAAATCTCTGTAATTCTTAACAATATTTTGTCTGTATGCAATTGCTCTTTCTAATAGTTAGTTTTTCGGATATAATATAGTTTGATTATAATATTTGTAAGATTTCAAGAAATAATTATTATTTAGTATTGTTAGTACTATTGAAAAGATAATATACAAATATATTACATATAGTTTAAATTTCGTTCTTTCTTTGACATAATTATTTTAATTGGTATATGATTTTTTTATTCAGTTGGTTGCATATAATGAAGAGTTTGACATATGGATCAAAACATGATGACGGATCTACTTGCAAAGGAAGATGATAGAAGGAAAAAAAAATGAAGCATAATTACAGATTATTTTTTTACTTTGAATTGTATTAGCAACTTAGTTACTTTTGCTAGAATTTTCTAAAGTTTGATTTGTATAAATAATTTAGCTAAATGTATTATATTGTCAATGCTAATCATTTGATCCTTTATTATTCTACTTTTTTCTTTGTTTATGAAGCAAAATTTACTATAATTATCTCATTTTAACAACAACAAAAAAAATTATGATGATTAGGAGTTTCATTTTTATTATAATTATAAAAAAGTAGTTGAAAAATAAAATATTATTTTCATATTACATATTTCATATTATTATCTTATAAATATTTCATATAGCCGCACGAAGCGCGAATAGTTTCACTAGTTTATTTATAATTAGTAAACCAAGTGAATAATAGCAGATGCATTGAACAGGATAAGTAATATATGGTTCATCTGCCAGTAACTATTATAGTACCAAATTTCCTTAATAGTAATTAGAATACAACCTTTTCTCATTCCAACATTTATTAGTTTGGTTGAAGCTTCTACCTGTGATATGGAGATCGGTTCATCTACCAATAATTATTATAGCATATTTTCTTAATATGTAGTAATTTAGAATACAATATTTTCTCAACAAAATATTTTCTTGTGCAATTTTTGTTCATTCTTAGTTTTTTTGTACTTTGAATGTATAAATCTCATAAAATTTTGGAAATTCTTTTGAAATTCGATTAGTGATTTGAAATTTTGCAGTTGGAATAGACATTTTGGAGTCTAGAGGTATTGAAATTTTCCTTCCATCAAAGACGATGTCGCCAAAGGTTTTTCTTCACTACTCAAATGCAATTTGCTCTATTTTTAATTAAAAAACTAAAATAATAGTATAAGAAACACAAGGTAAACATATCGTCTTTAAGATTAAAAAAAATCAAAGAAATATTGTTAAATAAATCTAACATACATTTAGTTTAAGGAATATTTGAATTTAATGTTCCCTATTTTGTTGTTACAAATAACAATATAATGGACATCTTTTTATGATTTTGTAGGAAAATATAGACTCTAGGATGTAAATCGTTAAAAGATATAGGATGAACGTAATTTAAAAAAAAATACAAATATATGTTAGGTAGGAGTACAAAACACAAAACTTTTTGCTACTTTCAAGTTATTGTTGATTGCTGATCAATTGGTATAGTATGATACTCACTACATTTGTAATCAAATCATAATTTTATGTGCATGCCTCTTGTCATGATTTTAAATACTACAATTATTTATTTTTAATTTTTTTTTATTACAGTTTCTTGTGTCATTGATCAAACATAGAGTAGTTCAAGAAAGACTAAAAACTCTTCGACAAATGAAAGAACTCAGTATGTACTTTGATTTGAGTATGATTGTAAGAAAATAATACATATATCGACAAAACATGCTACTCTCTTCCTTTGTCCTATTCAAAATTTGTATCTTTTTTTTTTTTAAAAAAAAGAATAAATTCCAAACGATTTTATATTAATTATTTGAAATACACGTGCAACACATTAAAAGTGGGCCCTATATTAAATTTAAATGTTATAAATTATTTAATAAATTAAATACTAAACAGTAAATCATCATATTAGTAAATGAATCAATACACATAAAGTATCTTGATTATATGTTTTTATATTAATTTCATGTTAGAGTAAATTCATGAATTTTTTTTATTTATCTTCCAATTGGAAATATCAATGGTTATGTTTGCCCTTTCACAAAAAGAAAAAAAACATACAAACCTATATTATATTCTTTTATATATATAAATATTTATATTAATGTGAAGTACATTACACAAGTCGTATTACCACTAGCTCTTCATTATATATTATTATGTAAATATATGTAACTCCACTAATTATATTAATTATTATTTTTACTCTCTCTTCTCATCCTCATCCATGATTTCAAATGGATTAATGTCATATTCATGAAAACTCTATGTGGTCCTCAATCTTATCCTGTAAACAGTGACATTTGACACAATATTATATATACACACTACAAACAATTGAAAAAAATCTCGCTGCTCTCTTCTCTTGTCTCTTTTTATTTGTTCTGTTTAGTGTTTATGTTTTGTTTGTTGTTATTGTCCAATTTTCTATTGTTTTGTTGTTACTATTATTAAAATCACTGTGGGTTTGTTGCTTTGTATTTATTAGCCTAGCATGTGGTATTTAAGTTTCCTCATTTGAATATTGTATTTGTACAATAGTTAGTAATTTTTACTTTATGCACTTT